CCTGCCAAGCAAACGCTGCACAGAATGCTGCGCCTGCCACGACTTCGGCAACGGCATCTCCAAAGTGCTGCGCCTGTCACGATTTCGCGCGGCCCGAGCCGCGCGCGCGACAACATCCCAGCCCTTTAGACAGCTGCCAAATGCTGCCCCTGCCCACAAACACACACTCAGATGCACAGAATGCTGCGCCTGCCACGACTTCGGCAATGGCATCTCCAAAGTGCTGCGCCTGCCACGATTTTGCGAGCCCCGAGCCGCGCGCGCGACAACATCCCAGCCCTTTAGACAGCTGCTAAATGCTGCCCCTGCCACGCAAACACACACTCAGATGCACAGAATGCTGCGCCTGCCACGACTTCGGCAATGGCATCTCCAAAGTGCTGCGCCTGCCACGATTTCGCGAGCCCCGAGCCGCGCTCGGCAATGGCATCTCCAAAGTGCTGCGCCTGCCACGATTTCGCGAGCCCCGAGCCGCGCGCGCGACAACATCCCAGCCCTTTAGACAGCTGCCAAATGCTGCCCCTGCCACGCAAACACACACTCAGATGCACAGAATGCTGCGCCTGCCACGACTTCGGCAATGGCATCTCCAAAGTGCTGCGCCTGCCACGATTTCGCGAGCCCCGAGCCGCGCGCGCGACAACATCCCAGCCCTTTAGACAGCTGCCAAATGCTGCCCCTGCCACGCAAACACACACTCAGATGCACAGAATGCTGCGCCTGCCACGACTTCGGCAATGGCATCTCCAAAGTGCTGCGCCTGCCACGATTTCGCGCGCCCCGAGCCGCGCTCGGCAATGGCATCTCCAAAGTGCTGCGCTGCCACGATTTCGCGAGCCCCGAGCCGCGCGCGCGACAACATCCCAGCCCTTTAGACAGCTGCCAAATGCTGCCCCTGCCACGCAAACACACACTCAGATGCACAGAATGCTGCGCCTGCCACGACTTCGGCAATGGCATCTCCAAAGTGCTGCGCCTGCCACGATTTCGCGAGCCCCGAGCGCGCGCGCGACAACATCCCAGCCCTTTAGACAGCTGCCAAATGCTGCCCCTGCCACGCAAACACACACTCAGATGCACAGAATGCTGCGCCTGCCACGACTTCGGCAATGGCATCTTCAAAGTGCTGCGGCTGCCACGATTTCGCGAGCCCCGAGCCGCGCGCGCGACAACATCCCAGCCCTTTAGACAGCTGCCAAATGCTGCCCCTGCCACGCAAACACACACACTCAGATGCACAGAATGCTGCGCCTGCCACGACTTCGGCAATGGCATCTCCAAAGTGCTGCGCCTGCCACGTTTCGCGAGCCCCGAGCCGCGCGCGCGACAACATCCAGCTTTAGACAGCTGCCAAATGCTGCCCCTGCCACGCAAACACACACTCAGATGCACAGAATGCTGCGCCTGCCACGACTTCGGCAATGGCTCTTCCAAAGTGCTGCGGCTGCCACGATTTCGCGAGCCCCGAGCCGCGCGCGCGACAACATCCCAGCCCTTTAGACAGCTGCCAAATGCTGCCCCTGCCACGCAAACACACACTCAGATGCACAGAATGCTGCGCCTGCCACGACTTCGGCAATGGCATCTCCAAAGTGCTGCGCCTGCCACGTTTTCGCGAGCCCCGAGCCGCGCGCGCGACAACATCCCAGCCCTTTAGACAGCTGCCAAATGCTGCCCCTGCCACGCAAACACACGCTCAGATGCACAGAATGCTGTGCCTGCCACGACTTCGGCAACGGCATTTTCAAAGTGCTGCGCCTGCCACGTCTTCGCGAGCCCCGAGCCGCGCGCGCGTCAACACCCCAGCCCTTTAAACAGCTCCCAAATGCTGCCCCTGTGAGTGAGTGAGTGCGCGGAGCGGTAAAAGTAAGAACCCCACACAAAGATGTGGGGAACAAACAACAACAAACAACAACAACAAACAACAGCAAACAACAACAACAACAACAACAACAACAACAACAACAACAACAACAACAACCACAACCACGACCACGACCACGACGACGACGACGACGACGACGACGACGACGACGACGACGACGACCACAACAACAACAACAACAACAACCACAACAACCACAACAACCACAACAACCACAACAACCACAACAACAACAACAACAACAACAAGGACAAGGACAAGGACAAGGACAAGGACAAGGACAAGGACAAGGACAAGGACAAGGACAAGGACAAGGACAAGGACAAGGACAAGGACAAGGACAAGAACAAGAACAAGAACAAGAACAAGAACAAGAACAAGAACAAGAACAAGAACAAGAACAACAACAAGAACAAGCACACGAACAAGAACACGAACAAGAACACAAACAAGAACAAGAACAAGAACCAGAACCAGAACGACAACGACAACGACAACGACAATGACAACGACAACAACAGCAGCAGCAGCAGCAAGAGCAAGAGCAAGAGCAAGAGCAAGAGCAAGGGCAAGAACAAGAACAAGAACAAGAACAAGAACAATAATATGAACAAGAACAAGAACAAGAACAACAACAACAACAACAACAGCAGCAACAACAACAACACCACCAGCAGCAGCAGCAGCAACAGCAACAGCAACAGCAACAACAACAACAACAACAGCACCAACAGCAACAACAACAACAGCAGCAGCAGCAGCAGCAGCAGCAGCAGCAACAGCAACAGCAACAGCAACATCAACAGCAACAGCAGCAACAACAACCACAACAACAACAACAACAACAACAGCAACAACAGCAGCAACAGCAGCAACAGCAGCAACAGCAGCAGCAGCAGCAACAGCAGCAACAGCAGCATCAGCAACAGCAACAACAACACCAACAACATCAGCAGCAGCAGCAGCAGCAACAGCAACAGCAGCAGCAGCAGCAATGCTGCTGCTGCTGCTGCTGCTGCTGCTACTACTACTACTACTACTACTACTACTACTACTACTACTACTTTCACCACTACTATTACAACTTAGTTGCCCGTTTGGTTGCCCCAGTCTTGTCCATGTGTCGGTTCCCAAAGGTCAGCCTTGGATTCCAGGTTCAGCTTTTTTAGACTCATTCCGGGTTGGATGTTTCGTCGGGTTCTGTTAGGGGAAACGGGTGTGTGTGTGTGTTTTGTTTTAAGGGTACTGTTTTGAGCTGTCTCAAGCAAAATCACCGGGAAACTAGCCGGATCTTGGGATTCTTTTGGGAGGGTATTTCAAGACTAAGCCAAAGATGCTCCATAGAAACCAGCAAGCCAAGCTTGCTGGAGTCTAGGGGGATCTCCTTTTCGGACATGCGCCCCCCGTTTTGGGTGCCTGATTTGCGGACGGGTTGAGGTGAACAAGGCTAAGGACGAAGTCGCCAAGTTCGAGTGGCCGCCGATGATGTCCGCCATGAACCGTCATGTGAGGGTGCTGGATAAGCAGTTTGGCCCGGTTCAAGTCGCTTCAGTGGAGCTGCTCGGACGAATCCCACAAATCCCGGACTCAGGGTTGGGCGATTCCACCCTTGTTCAAACAGGTTTAGGCACAATACTGCTTGCGCAGCCTCCTTTTGCGTCCCTTTTCGGGGGGTGTTGCTGCCCTACTCTGAGGCCTTTTGGGGCCATATGTCCCGCTTTCATTTCCAGAGTCGCCCAGCTTTCTCGGTGAGTTGGGAGCCACACCTTAGCCAAAGTGAATCGACCTGAGCACACGGTTTTGGGATGCGCTCCAGTTTCGGGTATGGCTGTTTGTTGCCAGCACCTTCTTCTTTTTTGACCCTGTTTCAATGGGACATGTGAGACATCACCGATCTTTTCGGGATCTTCTCACATTTTGGCAAAGCTGACCTCCCAAAGCTTGCAATAGGCCAACCGAGCCCGCAACACGTCACGTGTACTTTCAACCCCCCGCTCTGGAGTCGTTTGCGCTGGCTATGCTTTTTGCTCACAATGGTCTAATGTTTGTTAGATTGTCAGGGGCGGAATCCCCAAAACAGAGGCTGCAACATTATTTTATTAGACCAATGAATCCTCCGGTTGCAGGCGCCATGAGGACTGGATTCTGGGTATCGCCTACTTATGGCAACGGAGTTGATGCTATAGCCAGGTAGGCGAGGGCTACACACCGCCTAACTTCTGAGCTGAGGCACCTCTTCGAGCTGGCGAAGGCGTACCTCACAGGGGACACCGCCACTTTTGACGCCACCCTGGAGCACATGAGCTCTGCCGACCCCAAGGCCGGGCTGGACTTCTCGTCCAAAAGGGGAAGGAGAAAGAGAGACAGGGAGAGAAAGAAAGAGAGAGCGAGAGAGGGAGAGAGAGAGAGACAGAAAAAGAAAAAGAAAAAACCAAGGAAAAAGGCGCCCGCACCTTTCAAGGTCCCTTGAAGCGCGCTGTGGGTCTTTGCGGCAAGCCACAATCCAACCCTGCAGGCATCAAAGAAGCGCGCCAGGAAGCGGCTCTGTTTGAAAAAGAAAGGCCCCAGAGGCAGCCTGCCTACTTTGCAAAGGCGTCAAGGAAGCAAAGGTCAGTGCGTGTGAGTTTCTGCGTGTGGGTGGGTTTGTTTGTTTGTGTGTTTGGTTGTCTGTTTGATTGGGTGTATGTTCTTCCATCCGTCCATCCGTTTCTCTGTTTGCCAAATTGGGTAAATGTTCTTCCGTCCGTCCGTCTGTCTGTCTGTTTGTCTGATTGGGTGTATGTTCTTCCGCCCCGTCCGTCCGTGCGTCCGTCCGTCTGTCTGTCTGTTTGCCTGATTTGGTGCATGTTCTTCCGTCTGTCCGTTTGTCTGATAGGGTGTATGTTCTTCCGTCCGTCCGTCTGTTTGCTTGTCGGTCTGTCTGTTTTATGTTTTTTGTCCGTCCGTCCATTCGTCTGTCTGTCTGTTTGTCTGACTGGGTGTATGTCCGTCCGTCCGTCTGTCTGTCTGTTTGTCTGACTCGGTGTATGTTCTTCCGTCCGTTTGTCTGTCTGGTTGGGTTGCTTGTGTTGTGATTGCTTGCTTGCTTGCTTGCTTGCTTGCTTGCTTGCTTGCTTGCTTGCTTGCTTGCTTGCTTGCTTGCTTGCTTGCTTGCTTGCTTGCTTGCTTGCTTGGCTGGCTTCTTGCCTGATTGCTTGCTTTCTGGCTTGCTTGCTGGCTTGCTTGTTTGCTGGCTTGCTTGCTTGCTTTCTTGCTTGCTTGCTTTCTTGGTTGGTTGGTTGGTTGGTTGGTTGGTTTGAGAGTGTGGGCGTGCGTTTGTGGATGATGGTGTTGTGTAATGTTGCATGTTTCGTTGCGAACATTTGATTGGTTGTCTGGTTGTTTTAGCGCTCTTGATTTCTTGCTTGCCTGTCTGCCTGCTTGATTGCTTGCTTGCTCCTTCCCTTGTTTGCCTGTTTGCTTGCTTGCTTGCTCGCTCGCTAGTTTGCTTGCTTCCGCGTTTTCTTGTTTTCTTGTTAGCTTGTGTGCGTGCTGGCTTGTCTGCTTGCGTGCTTGTGCATGTGTGGGTGGGTGCGTGTGCTTGCGTACGTGCGTGCATGCGTGCGTGCGTGTGGGTGGGTGGGTGTGTGTGTGTGTAGGTGTGTGTGAGGGATTGTTTGTGTGAGAGTGAGTTTGTTTGTTTGTGTGCGCGTGTTTTCCGTCGCCGTGTCCGTGTTGCGTCGATGTTTCTGTGTTTTTTTTTTTTTTTGGGGGGGGGGGTTTTCGGATTTGTTCCTTTCTGTGTACTGTAGCACATGTTTGTTATGTTTGCGGGTTGGGGGGTTGGGGGGTGTCAGGGGCGGAAGCTGAGGTTGCCAGTTCCATTCTTCGCGCTGAAGCGCTTCTGGTTCCCAAAGGCCGAGAGCTTCATCGCCCCCGCGGTGCTCGAGAAGATGGGCAACGTCGAGTACAAGCCGAAGTTCGAGAAGCTGTGCAGGTCGCCAGGGTCAGAAACGGGGGGTCCAGTGCCTCCCTTCCAGGTTGTTGGAAGAGAAACTCAGATTCAAGCAGGGTGCACATCTTTGCGAGCCATCCCCTTTCACATCGGGGGCACCATTTATGTTGACGCCTTGCTGAAAGTTTGATGCTTTCAGTGCAGAAAAGGAGAGTTGACACCATGCATTGTCCATGATTATATGCTTGGATTTGCTCTTCTTTCAATGGCAAGGGGGGGGTGCTTCAGACGGACTCGGGCCGAAAGGGTTCAATGGCACCATCGGCTTCCCCACTGAGCATGTCTTCGCCCCAAACCTGGGCTCCGCAAGAACTTGGTTTTCCTCCTCCGTTTTCTCCCTTCCCCCCCCCCCCCTCCCCCTCCCCCCACCCCCCCTTGGGTCGTCCCAGTCGTCCTCTCAGTTGCGGCATCCAGACCATCGAGGAGGTGGACTACTATGACGGCCGCGGGACTTGGGGCATCGCCGCCGAGAGGAACTGGCTGGGCATGCTGGCGCCGGACTTCCTGGATGGGAGGCTAGCCTCCCACCAGACCTACTTGACCCAGGACCCGCCAAGATACCCAGCACGTGAGACCAGGGATGCGATTGCTTTGGTGTGATTTTGCAGATGTTTGTGTTGAGGGTGTCCTTTTCAGGTCGGTTTAAAGGGATTTCAAAAAAAGAAAGCCCGCCATTTGCGAAACTCATCGGAGCGCTTCAAGGGAACCCTCCGGAAACTTGCCCACCAACCTCTCCATGAAACTCCGACACCTTCCGGAATTCTCTACTCCGGAGATTATTTGGGCAGAGACCCCCAATAGCTTTCAGCTATTGCGGGAAAACAAACGTCCCAAAAGTCCAGGGGGCTTTCCACTGAGCGCTCCTTGTGCTGGGCGGTTGGAGGAGCGCAAGCTCAGCAAGATCCTCACGCTGATTCTGAAGGCCACGCATGAGAACAGCTGCACCGTGCCCGCCTCACTGGACTGGGCCCGCCTCAGCAGCATCCCCTAGGCGTCGCGGCCCGGCGAGTCGGTTTTTCAGGCCCGGGACCTGGTGGGCGAGCTGAACCCCAGCGCCGTGTGCTTTTTGAGTGCTCGTTTTGTTTCATCGCATTTTTGTTTGCATAGCGTTTCTCGCTCGTCGCTCGCTCTTCTCCCTGCATGTTTCCCGGCTCGGCTTTTCGCCGCCCAGTGCCACACCTTGTGTCTTTACCTTCTCCTTCTCGACCCGCATGTCTCTATACTATGCTCCCTCATCGCTTTTTTTGCCCATTATTTTTGCTCCTTTCTCCGCTTCTCTGCCCGCTCTTCTCCCCATTTTTCGCTTAGCTCCTCTCCCAGCTTGCTTCTCTTCTCTTCTTCGCTTGCTCCTCGTCCCACTTTTCTCTCCTCGTCCCTGTGCTCTTCTCCCAGCTCTTCTCTCTGCTCGCTTGCTTGTTCTTCTCTTTCATTTTCTCCCCGCCCTGTTCTCTACACGTCTCCCAAAGCTATTCTATCCATTGCTGTGCCCATGTTCCACCTTTTCCTGGGCCTTTGCTCGCAGTTCTGCTTGCTTTTCGTCCTGTTTGCCTGCTCTTCTCCCAACTCTTTTTTCCCCGCTCTTCTCTCTCCCTGTTCTCGTATTGTTTTACCAACTCTGCAATTTTAATCCAACAGAAATGGAGGTCCCCAATTTATGTTTGAAAGCACCCACACAATCTGAATCTTTCATTTTAGACATGTTTGCTTCCGTTGGGCAAGTAAGGAGATGTGAGGAGCTGAGAGCCACCGCAAAAAAAATCGGCCGCGCCGAGAAAAAAACAGTGCGAAGGCATGTGAGCCATGGCGTGCCTGCTGCTTAGATCAAGGTGTTGCATGGCCAGATGTCTTTGTCCGGGCGCTTGGCAGCGTGTTCTTTGCTATGCTGTGGTTGCTGCACACGAGGTGGGAGGCATGCCATTCAATGCAGCCAGCTCGGGTGGTGAATCGTTTCTAAGTGTGCCAATCGGAGAAAGGTAGGAGCAACATGCACCAGTTAAGGGCGACTGTAATACAGTACGCCAACGATAGCTTGAACGATGCCCTGCCCTGCGCTTCAAATGTAGCGGGCCTATTTTGCGCTCGAAATCGCGACACAAAGACAGAGATTTCCCGAATCTTCATCGACCACATTGGCTTAACCCGGTTCTTGCACTGTCTCGCCTTCAGCCACCAGCCAATGCCAGAGTCAGGGAAGAATTCATGTCAACATATACCGTTTCCGCTTGGCTTGGTTGCACAGCTGTTGCAATTGACTTGGTTGGAGATCAGGGCCAGGCTCTTCCCACTCCCACTCCCCCCCCCCCAGAACAAAATAGCAACAGCTGGTGCGTAATACGTGCATTGGCTGTGATATCGGCATATCGAATACATACATACATATATATATATATATATATACATATGTATATATGCACTTATATATGCATATATGCACACTATTCATTTGTGTTTGTATCCATGGTAGCTATATGACTTCAACGTATGTCACACCAGCACTGGGCACTGGATGATGCCTCAGCTTCAATTTGTCACGCGGCGAGTGGGGTGCCACCAGTGGGCATGGTGCAAACGACTGGTTTGTCCTTCTAAACGCCTCCCCTCCTGCGCCCATACGCACATTGCATTTGATGCCAGGGGCCCGGATGTGCCCTTCAAGGACTGAGTGCACCTGACACATCCGAGTTTTTGGTTCTCCCTCATGGGTCTCGCGCGGGGAATTCTTGCAGTTGGGCACGATACCCACGCCTGCCTGCAGATGCCAGGAGGCAACAAGACACTGGAAGCCGTCAGAGGTCGAGCGAGAGGCTCGAATTGATCTTTGTAGCAACTAAAGGGCTTTGCATCCCTGTGGCAGGGACCAATGGCAAAGCTGGACGAGAAACAAGCCAAAGTGGGCGCCTACTGGGACCGCGGGGGGGTTGCTTGGGCACTCGAGTTCTTGGACCGCAGATGCTCGAACGCGAATTGCGCTTCCGAATGGTGAAGCAGCTTTGCCCTTTCTGAATGTGGTGCAAGTGAACTGAGCTTCTGGCTGAGCAAGCTTAAAACTTTTGGGCACATCCCTGACCGGCCCTGGCTCCTTTGAGGCTGCCATGTGGCCTGACATGCCTGGTGTATCCTTCAGGGTGTCCCGCGAATTGGCTGGAATTCGTTTTTCTTTGCGGTTGGAGATGTGAAACAAGGGATGTGCGGACCTTCCCAACAAATAAGCATGGAACCTACAAATAGCAACCCAACGAGCTTCCTCCAACAAACTGCACTTGTTTTGGGGGTTCCATGTTTACCTGCAGGAGAGTAACGTGGGGGACCTTTCCCCACCCCCCAAAGTCAGGCAAGTGGCCAGGACGGCTCCCATGAGAAGCTGGCGGCTGTGCGGAACTCGCACTCCTCACCTGCACTGCGGCAGTCTGCCGCGGAGGTGATGCAGGCGAGGCAACCCCCCACGTTTTTCCTTACTTGACTGCTATTGGGTTGGATCTTTGGACTTCAACTTTTCGGGAAATCAAGGGGTTCTACGAAAGCCACAAAAAGTTGAACTTTTTGCAGAGGGGTCAACAGCAACCAAGCTTGGTCATGCCGGTTACTTGCCCGCAAGCAAATTGTTCCGCCTACACCCTGGCGCAAGGCACTTCAGGCCCTATCAAGGCTTAGGAACCTTTGGACCCTGTGGGAGAGCAGCAGTGTTTGGAGAGGTTCCCCTTTGACACCTAAACTGCCAAACAGGTGCCCGTGTTTCCCATGACCACCGGAAGTCTAGGTTACAGGCAGCAAGGGTGGCCGTTTGTCCTTCTCACACTCCCGGTCCTGGCCCATTTGTGAAGGCTACTTGCCGTCATTGTGGGCGGTTTGTGCATTTCCTGTTTAGCGATGCGGCTCAGTCAGGGGCGGCTCACGCATGTACCTACAGCTGGTTCGTTCCAGTAGGACCGCGCCCAGATGCAGGTTGGGGTTGTAAGTCAATGAATCAGCGGTCCCATGTCTTTGCCCCTTTTGAAGGCTCAAAACAAAGTGGGGGGGGTTCAACCGTATTTTACTGATAAAACTTGGGGGGGGGTTCAACCTTGTCTGGAGCCTCTAACAGAGGTATTCTTATTTCCTCATGGAGAATGCCAAAACCCCAAGCTGTCGGAAGGGTCGCTTCGTTTCGGAGGCATGCCACCCCTTGACCACGGAGCTTAGACGCTGGGAGAAGCTTGCACAGGCTTCGGGCTCGGCGGATGGGTGCAACGGGGTGTGTGTCGTAAACCAGATCCTTGAGGTTGGGGTGACGAACCCCGGGAGTGTGTCATGGTTGGGGGGGGCACAAATCTTTGTCTTGTCCATGTGAAAGAAGCAAGCATTCCCACATGCTGGCAGAGCATGTGTCCAGCCCGCAGGTGACTGAGAAGGGCGAAATCAACAAGGCGGGCAGTTTTTGTTTGCTGGTTCGTGGCGCATTTCTGCAAGCGCCTGGTAGTTGCCTGGGCTGGCCTTTTGCATACATACATGTGTGTTGCATATGTATACGGCAGTTTGAATTGGGGGACCCCCCCCAATTTTCTGGATTCTCTTTTGTTTGCCTTACAAACCAAGTCTAAAAAAGAGCTTTTTTCAAAACAGACACCCATTTGAGGCCAAGTCCCCTTAGACCTTGAATGTCCATTTGGGCGTGTCTCAAAAAATGGGCGGGATTTTGGCGTTCCTGTGAAACTGCTAAAAGCTGGTCTCCCGAAGAGAGAGCCCGCCCGAGCGCACCCGGCCTGTTCAGACCCTCTTGCGTCCGACGTTAAGTCTGGTCCATGTCTGGTTCACTCTCTTGCCATCGCCGCACATGGTGGGCGTTTTGCAGAAGCTTCCTTTTCAGGTTGGTTCCATGGGAAGCCAACGCTGCAATCTTGGTGCAAATCCGTATTTGTTGACACATCATCTTGTGGCTGTTTCTCAAAAAGGCCCGAAATAGAAACGACACTGCATTGTGGCTGGTTCAAAGTTTGGTCCAACACCATAAACCCCAGAAAAGAAGAAGAAGAAGAAGAAGAAACACAGAAGACAACACCAACAACGCCATCCTTTTTTGGGGTTCCAGTTTTTGAGAAATCCGCAAAGTTTATTGGAATCCAACCCAAAAACGCCCATGCTGTTGGTGGGTTCCCTTCCGAGAAACCCACAAAAGAAGTTTTGCGGGGCTTCCGTTTTCTTGAGAAGCCCTCCCCCCCCTCAAGCCAAAACAAACAGAAACACGGCGGGGGGGGGGGGGGGGGGCGCGCGCCTGAACGGACCGAGTCCTTGGCCTCCTGGGTCTCAAACCGCTCAGGACGTGCAGGCCTCCATGGCCAGCAGCCGGCAGCTGTGCCAGGCGAAGGTGCGGCCCAAGCCGGTCTGGGCCGGCGGCCTGGCCGGGCGGCCTGGAGCCAGAGCGGCCACGGGCTTCACTTTGCTGGGGAAGTTTTTGCGGGCTTTGGGCTTTTGGGGGTTGCTTATTTTTTTAGTGGGCTGGAGAAAAGAAAAGAACGTTTTTTTGCTGCCGGGTTGCCACACCAAGGGTTGTGAAGCTGGTAATTTGTGAGCTGAACCAACTCGGAGCTGAGAACGGGGGGCATGGGGGGCGGATCAATGCCGTTGATCCATTTTACAAGAGGTGAACTCTGGTTTACAATTCCGTTTTGGAGTCAGAGGTGGGGATTGACAGGTAGGCCGATCGGGGCTTGAGCAGCCTGACCTCGCGAAGATTCCAAGAGCCGATGGATCGCTTTACCTGCGCCGAGGTGAACTTTCCAAAGTACATGCTCATCAATAATTGTGGCTCAGCGGCACGCCATGGGGATCTCACAAGGCGGAAGCCGAGGTTTTTACTTTTGTATGTGTAGGTTGTTTTGGGGGGATCCAAACCCCAAGAACAAAGACTAACGTTGGTTCGGGAGTGGTCCAGTTAGAAGCGCCACCCAACCAAATGCGTTGGGGTTTCGAGGGGTTTGCGACATCGCCTTTTGGCCCAACAAAGGTCAACTTCCCCTGAAAGTGGTGGATGTGAACAAGCAAAATATATGGAACCCTGTGTGCAACCCAATGGCCAAAAAGGATGCCCTGAAAGAGACTAGAGAGGGTTGTAACCACGACAAAGAACATGTTACAACGACAAAGAACATCCTACACCGACAAGTTTCAGTGAAGACTATCCCGACAAGGTAAGAAGGTCAATAGAAAGGAATAAGAAGGAATGAGAAGGTCAATAGAATGGAATGAGAAGGTCAATAAAAATGAATAAGAAGGAATGAGAAGGTCAATAGAATGGAATGAGAAGGTCAATAAAAAATGAATAAGAAGGAATGAGAAGGTGAATAGAAAGAAATAAGAAGGAATAAGAAGGTGAATAGAAAGGAATAAAAAAGGAATGAGAAGGTCAATAGAGAGGAATAAGAAGGAATGAGATAGAAAGGAATAAGAAGGAATGAGAAGGTCAATGGAAAGGAATGAGAAGGAATGAGAAGGTCAATAGAAAGGAAAAAAAAAGAATGAGAAGGTCAATAGACAGGAATGCGAAGGTCAATAGAAAGGAATAATAAGGAATAAGAAGGTCAATAGAAAGGAATAAGAAGGAATAAGAAGGTCAATAGCAAGGAACAAGAAGGAATAAGAAGGTCAATAGAAAGAATAAGAAAGTCAATAGAAAGGAATAAGAAGGTCAATAGAAAAGAGTAAGAAGGAATACGAAGATCAATAGAAAGGGAAAAAAAGAATGAGAAGGTCAATAGACAGGAATGCGAAGGTCAATAGAAAGGAATAATAAGGAATAAGAAGGTCAATAGAAAGGAATAAGAAGGTCAATAGAAAGGAATAAGAAGGTCAATAGAAAGGAATAAGAAGGAATAAGAAGGTCAATAGAAAGGAATAAGAAGGAATAACAAGGTCAATAGGAAGGAATAAGGAATAAGAAGGAATAAGAAGGTCAATAGAAAGGAATAAGAAGGTCAATAGAAAGGAATGAGAAGGAATAAGAAGGTCAATAGAAAGGAATAAGAAGGTCAATAGAAAGGAATAAGAAGTCCTTCTTATACCTTTCTATTGGCCTTCTTATTCCTTTCTATTGACCTTCTTATTCCTTTCTATTGACCTTCTTATTCCTTCTTATTCCTTATTCCTTTCTATTGACCTTCTCATTCCTGTCTATTGACCTTCTCATTCCTTTTTTATTCCTTTCTATTGACCTTCTCATTCCTTCTCATTCCTTTTCATTGACCTTCTCATTCCTTCTTATTCCTTTCTATTGACCTTCTCATTCCTTCTTATTCCTTTCTATTGACCTTCTCATTCCTTCTTATTCCTTTCTATTCACCTTCTTATTCCTTCTTATTCCTTTCTATTCACCTTCTCATTCCTTCTTATTCCTTTCTATTCACCTTCTTAATCCTTTCTATTGACCTTGTTATTCATTTCTATTTCCTTGCTTGTCGGGATAAGCCCGCAGGAAACATATCGCTGTAACACTTTTTTTTCTGCCGTGGTAACTTCGCAAATCACGTTTTTGTCGTGGTTACAACCCCCCCTCGAAAGAGACAGAGGCAGCTCGGCCGTTTGGCCGAGATGCGCTCCATGAGGCCATCTCAAGCAGATGGACTTGCAGCGATACGCCGACCAGTGTGAGCAGGCGCCCTTTTTTCGGGTGTGCATGGTTGGCCTCAAAATCAAATCCCCTCCTCCCCGCCCCCACTCCCCAGCAGAAATGGCTGGTTTACTTTTAGTCCCTTTCTTACACCGAGCCCCAAAAGGGTACCCCAAAAAAAGATGCGCATATGAGCACGCCGGCATGCACAAAGTATGGCTGGAACATCCAGACGCGTCCATAGCACGAGGCTGTTGGGCAGTCGCCTCGGTGCTGAAGATCTTGGGCCTAGTTTGGTGTGCTGGCACCGTCACCTGGGCGCATGCGCCATGTGGCCCCTTCCCCCCATTTGGAGGTTCGGACACCTACTTTCATCTGGGGAGCCACCCAATCCACTTCCAAGCAAGGGGCTAGCAGTGGAAAAGCTGGAAAATACAGGAGTACCCCTCGTAGAGTGAATTGCCTCCCTTCGGTGCCAGGGTGAGGATCGGTGGTCCTTTCAGTTACCAAAGTTGGTTGGCGGGGAGTCGCGAATTCTCCCTTGGTCTATTCAGGGGCTCTGATTTCCTTTGGACCACTTCGACAAGTGAAAGCGCCTCTTTTTTTTTTTTGGGGGGGGGGGGACCGCGCACCGTCCCCAGCCTTTTTTGCTCATGAAAGTGGATCCCCCATCCCGCTATATAATGGAATTTGGGGAGTTCCGTGGTTGCCCCAAAAGCCCCAGCGATCTCCGTCGAAATTTTACATTTCCCCGTGCGGAAAACTAGAAAAATGGAGGGTAAGAACTAGAAAAATGGAGGGTAAAATAGACTACCGAAAACAGAAACCAACAAAGGGGAGGGTTCCCCTACTAAAATAGACTACCGAAAACAGAAACCAACAAAGGGGAGGGTTCCCCTACTAAAATAGACTACCAAAAACAGAAACCAACAAAGGGGAGGGTTCCCCTACTAAAATAGACTACCGAAAACAGAAACCAACAAAGGGGAGGGTTCCCCTACTAAAATAGACTACCGAAAACAGAAACCAACAAAGGGGAGGGTTCCCCACTAAAATAGACTACCGAAAACAGAAAACCAACAAAGCGAGGGGTTCCCCCTACTAAAATAGACTACCGAAAACAGAAAACCAACAAAGGGGAGGGTTCCCCTACTAAAATAGACTACCGAAAACAGAAACCAACAAAGGGGAGGGTTCCCCTACTAAAATAGACTACCGAAAACAGAAACCAACAAAGGGGAGGGTTCCCCTACTAAAATAGACTACCGAAAACAGTAACCAACAAAGGGGAGGGTTCCCCTACTAAAATAGACTACCGAAAA